TTGTGTCTCTGCACGAGCTCCACGCAGGGCCGCTCACGCCCACTCAGTTGAAAGATATACTTGCGTTGGGCGGCCTGAGCATCAAGGTCACTTTGACGCGCGATATGACCGCGGATGGTCACACCAAGGGGAGCATCGACAGAGAAATGTTCCTACAAGTCATGGGAGGTATACAGGCCTTCAAACATGACTGGAAGAGTCATACTCCATGTTGGGCCGGCCAGACATCCACTTCTGACTCCGCCTGAGGAGTGCTTCAAGTACAGAACTGTACATGCAAGGCAACTTGCGAGCGGGTCCACCTTCCTTCTGGCCCGCCCCTTTTTTCTGTCCTTGTGTATATTAGCTGCTGTGCCTGTTGTATAGGGGCGACGGGCTCACGCTTCGTCTCCCCCCCCGACTAAAGCGAGCTGAGGGACGTAAGGAGCGGAAGCGAGCGTGCGCCCGCGGCCGCGTCGGCTCAAGCGGCTGGCCGCCCAAATATGACTGTGCCTCACCGCGAGACACACAATCGCTATCGAAACCAAAAGAGTTCTCCTATTGCTTAAGATGGCACATCCTCTCCTGCTGGGACTATTCGTTACTACGGTACAACAGAGCTGGAACTTGGCTTCGCCTAAGGCGAAGCTGCTGGCTGGGCCCCCCAGCCCCCTTCAAACTGGGGGGCCCTGGCTAAAGAGGGGGGGGGGACTTCGAAGCAACCCCCCCCCCCTCCCTTTTCGGTGCCAGAGGTAAGCCCGGGCTCCCCTTCAGAGACGGGGGGGGGGGGGCTTCCGAAGCTACCCCCCATCCCCGTTTTTTTTGAAATCATTTTTGGGTTGGGGGGGCCGTGGCTAAAGGGAGGGGCCTTCGAAGCTACCTCCCCCTTTCCTTTTTTTCTGGGCCAGAAGTAAACCCAGGCCCCCCTGTCTAAAGGGGGGGGATTCCGAAGCTATCCCCCCCTTCCTTTGCAGCTGGGGTCACGCGGGGGCTCGCTATCGGAGTCGCCGACGGACGACGGTCGCCGCCGCTGGATCGTGGTTTCGTTTTCTTGGACCCCGGTTCGGTTTCTACTGTTCTCCGTTTCTCAGCCCCTGGATCGTAGTTTTGTTTTCTCTGGTCCTGGTTCGCTTTCTCGTTTTCTTGTTTTCGTTTTCTCGGGCACCAGTTCGTTTTCTCGTTTTCTCGTTGTCTCGGCCCCCGGGTCGTGGTTTTGTTTTCTCGGGCCCCGGTTCGTTTTCTCGTATTCTCGGCCCTTGGGTTTGTGTTTAGTTTTCTCGGCACCTGGCTCGTTGACTTGTTTTTTCGTTCTCTCGGCCCTTGGGTCGTGGTCTCGTTTTCTCGGACCCTGATTCGTTGTTTTGTTTTCTTGTCATCTCTCGTCCCCTGGGTCGTGGTCTTGTTTACTCGGACCCTGGTTTGTTTTATCGTTTTCGCGTGTTCTCTGCCCCTTGGTCGTGGTCGTTTTCGTTTTCTCGTTTTCTCGGGCCCTGGTTGTTTTCTCGTTTTCTCGTTTTCTCGTTTTCTCGTTTTCGTTTTCTCGTTTTCTCGTTTTCGTTTTCTCGTTTTCTCGTTTTCTCGTTTCGTTTTCGTTGTTTTCTCGGACCCCGTTTCGTTTTCTCGTTTTCCCGTTTTCTCGGCTCCTGGGTCGTGGTCTCGTTTTCTCGGGCCCTGGTTCGTTCTCTCGTTCTCTCTGCCCCTGGGTCGTGGTTATGTTTTCTCGGGGCATTGTTCGTTTTCTCGTTTTCTCGTTTTTTGTTCTGCTCCTGGATCGTGGTCTCGTTTTCTCTGACCCTGGTTCGTTTTCTCGTTTTCTCTGCCCCTGGGTCGTGTTCTCTCGTTTTCTCTGACCCTGGTTCGTGTTCTCGTTTCTCGTTTTCCCGGCGCCTGGGTCGTGGTCCAGTTTTCTCGGACACTGGTTAGTTTTCTCGTTTTCTTGTTTTGTGGTTTCGTTTCCTCGGACGCTGGTTTGTTTTCTCGTTTTCTCGGCCCCTGGTTCGTAGTCTCGTTTTCTCGGGCCCTGATTCCTTTTACCGTTTTCTCGTTTTCTCGGCACCTGGGTCGTGGTCTCGTTTTCTAGGACCGATATTCGCGTTTTCTCGGCCTGGGTCGTGGTCTCGTTTGCTCGGACCTTGGTTTGTTTGATCGTTTTCTCGTGTTCTCGGCCCCTGGGTCGTTATCTCGTTTTCTCTGATCCTGGTTCATTGTCTCGTTTTCTCGTTTTCTCGGCTTCTGGGTTTTTGTTTCTTTTTTCTCTGGCCCTGGTTCGTTTTCTCGTTTTCTAGGGTTAGGTCCAGGGTTCGTCTCTGGGGTTAGGGTCTAGGGTGGTTTGGTGTTTAGGTTTAGGGTTCGGGGCCAGGGTCATGGGTGGTTTAGTGTTTAGGGTTAGGGGTTACGGGTTAGGGATAGGAATAGGGTGAGTGTTTCGGGTTCGGGTCAGGGCTCAGGGTTCCTGTTTAGGGTTCGTGTTCGGGTTGGAGGGGAATGGGAGGAAGGTGGGGTTGGCTTCCAGCTGGGGGGGTCCAAAGGGGGATGGGGGTAGCTAAATTCCCTCACTCCTTTTGGAAAAGGAGGGGAGGGGGGTAGCTTCCAGCAGTGGGGGTGCAAAGGAGGAGGGGGGTAGCTAAGCCTCCCCCCTTGGGAAAGGGGGGGGGGGGGGGGGGTAGCTTCCGGAGCGACAGAAGAGGGCAGGGGGGCTGTAGTTTCCGCGGGGGCAGAGGGGGGGGGGGGGGCAAAAAAGAGGGGAGGGGGGGGGGGGGTAGCTTCCAGCAGGGGGGGGGGGGGGGGGGAGCTAAGCCCCCCCCCCTTTGGAAAAGGGGGGAGGGGGGGAGTAGCTTCCGGAGCGGCAAAAGGGGGGGGGGGGGGGGAGCTTCCGGGGGGGACCAGAAAGGAGAGAGGGGGGGGGGTAGCTTCCAGCGGGGGGCCAAGGGGGGGGGTAGCTAAGGGGGGACCCCCCCTTTGCGAGTTCCGCGCGCGCGCTCTCTCGGAATATACATGGAATCTTTTTGTGGCCGAGTGCAAAAGAGCCCGGGGTCCCTTTTTTATCGCTGAGTACAGGGGATGTCCGTTGTGTATTGGATTACAGAGGAAATCCTCTCTGACGGAATGCTAAAGGAATCATTTTGTGGCCGAGTGCAAAAGGGCTCCCCTTGTGGCGGAGTGCAAAAGGATTCCGTTTGAGGCAACATACTGACGGGTTTGTGTTGTGGTGGACTATGTACTACGGGATTCCTTGTGTGGCGGGTTCTTACAGCATTCCGTTTGTAGCAGAATGCGAAAGACATCTTTCTGTGGTTGAATACCGAAGCATTCCGTATGTGGTGGCATACAAGAGGTTTTTTGTGGCCGGCTACAAAAGGGTTCCTTTTGTGGCGGAATGCATCCGGATTCCTTTCGTGGCGGAATACACTGGATTCTTGATCGTTGTGGATTACAAAGGGATTCCTTGTGTGGCAGAATCCAGGAGGAATCCTTCTGTTAGTAATTATAATTACCAGGGGCTTCCTTATGTGGCGGAACACGGAAGATATTTGCTGGGGCCGAATACATAAGGGTTCCATTTGTTGTGGGTTACACAGGGATTCTCTTGGTGGCAGAATACAAAAGGATTCTTTGTGTGGCGGAATACTGCGGGATTCCTCTCGTGGTGGGTTACAGAGGGACCTTTTTAGTGGTGGAGTGACTATCAACATATTCTTTGGTTTGCAGAATAGGCGGGGTTTCCGTTTGCGGCGGGATACAGTAGGAATCTTTTCGTGACAGGGGTACACAAGGATTAGTTTTGAGGCGGAATACAAATGGACTCCTCTTGTGAGCGAACAGCGCCGACAAAACCAAACAACAAAAAACAGCCACATCAACCATGTTTTTGGGCCAATCTCCCTGTACCATCTCCACAATTCTGCCGAAAGTCTGTTTTTGGTTGTTTGTCAGCGCTTTTCGCTTGCAAAGGGAATCATTGTTTTGCTCCGCCTTATAACGGATCCTTTCGTAAAGATCTCCTTTGTATTTCACCAGGAAAGGAATCTGAGTGTATTCTGCCACAAAAAGGGATCCGTTGGCATTCGGCCACACAGCGAATCCGTTTGTATTCCGCCGCAGCGCACATTCTTTTTGTACTCCGGCACGAAAGGGAACCTTTTTTTCGTATTCAGCCACATGAGCAATCATGTTGCACTCCGCCACCAAAAAAAAAGCTTGCGCATTACAAGAGCATTCCACTTGTGGTGGAATACTCAAACATTCATCTGAGTGGAATGGAGGACGGTTTCCTTTTGAATGGAATACACGTCGACTCCTTGTGGCGGATGGCAAAAACAGATCTGTCGTTACACCCCCCAAAAAAAGCACACACACACGCTCAAACCGTCAAGGCTTGCATCGTGCCTGGTGCGGGAGGATGATGATGAGGAGGAGGAGAGGGGAAAGGATGAGGACGAGGAGGAGCGGGAGGAGGATGGGGAGGGCTGTGTGAATTGGCAGGAGGACGGAGGAGGGGGGAACCAGCAGAGGGGGGAGGGCGACGAAGACAGGGACGAGGAATACGTAGGATGAGGAGGCGGTTGCGGAGGTGATGGCGACGACGATGCCAACGATTCGAGGGAGCGAGGAATCGAGGAGGAGGAGGAGGATCAGGAGGAAATTGGATGAGCGGGATGATGATGATGATGATGATGATGATGATGATGATGATGATGATGGTGATGGTGATGGTGACGGTGATGGTGATGGTGATGGTGATGATGATGATAATGATGATGATGATGATGATGATGATGATGATGATGGTGATGGTGATGGTGATGGTGATTATGATGATGATGATGATGATGATGATGATGATGATGATGATGATGATGATGATGATGATGATGAGCAGGAGGGGTAGGACCAGGGAGGATGGGAAGAGAACGAGGTGGACGGAGGAGGAGGAGGACGAGGGCCTCCCACGTCAGTACTTGCACGGGCCTTCCTGAGAGGACGTGCTAGGTTTCTGGAGGTTCGTTGCCCATGCTCGCAAGGAGGCCGCGCCCAAGAAGGAGGCCACCAAAAAGGAGGAGAAGAAGGACGCGAAGGCGGCCGCTACCGAGGATGCGAGAGGGCCAACCAAAGCGAACGCCAGTCATACTTGTCAGACCACCCTTTCAGGTGATAAACGCATCGCGCCCATGGGGGAAGCTTAGAAGACTTCCAGTTTTTTTGAGAAGCTTTCAAATGCGCCTTTTCCGAAGCCACAATCGGCTTTTCAGAAGAAGGCGCGCAAGCTTCAAAGAAGCCCCGCCGCCTTCTCAGAAGGCCTGCCCCCTTCCAATTTCTCGCCAAGATAAGGAGACGGGGGGGGGATTGGTGCAACTTTCGGTATACATGTGCATCTTGCCGGACAGGGTGCATTTGGAGAAATGGCTTCGCCTTCGCAGTGTTGAGAGGTTGCCTTATTAGAGAATGGATGGATTCGGCTTGTGTTCGGGATTCGGTTTTCTGCTACGTATGGGGCCAAGGGGGCCAGGCGGACAGCGACGACGACGACGAGGGCGACGAGGACGAGGGGGAGGAAGAAGAAGAAGACGACGAGGGGGTGAAGGGCCAGCACCCCCATCCGTCCTATCGGCCCAAGCCAAGAGCAAGGGGAGAAGGAAAGAACGCATCGGAGTCACATCGGAGCCATATTGACACAATCTTGGGGTCAACTAAGGTTAAAAGGGTGTCATCTTGGGGCTATCTCGAAGTCGTCCCGGACTCATGGGGCCTCTCTGGGGCCGCCTCGGAGTAAAATCAAGGTCGCGCGGTAGCCTTAGTTCAGTCGGAAGACAATGGGTTCATCTCGGAGTCCTCTTGGGGCCGCAGGGTTGCTCTGGGGTCAGATTGGGGCCATTGCTTAGCAGGGGTGGGCGTCTTGGGGCGACAAGGGTAACCTTGCGATCATTTCAGAACCTGTTTGGGTCCATCTTGGAATCATATTTCTGGTGCTGCCTCTCTCGTTGTTGTTGCTGCAGATGTTGCTGTTGCTGTTGGCGTTGATGTTGCTGGTGCTGCCTGGGCTGCTCGTGGTGCTGGTGCTGGTGCTGTGTTAGATTTCAGGCCATCTTGGGGCCCTCTTGCGGCCCTCGTGGGCCTTTTGGGCCCTGCGGGGGCTTGTCTGCGGGCCCTTAAGGCGCCTCCGAGAGGGCCGAGACTTCAACGCACACTTAACACAAACCGCCTCCTTATTGGATAGCGTCTCGTGTCAACTTTGTATCAACAAACTTGACCCTCTTGGAGCCATCTTGGGGCTCTCTTGGGGCCCTCCTGGTCCTTGTTGAGTCCCTGCAGGAGCTCTCTGAGGCCTCCAGGAGGGCCAATCATTCAACACATTTAAGACAAACCGCCTCTTTACTTATTGGAGAGCGTCTTGTGTTAGTTTTATAACACATGTCGGACCCTCTGACAAAACTCCCACAAAGCCCAAGAGAGACCCCAGAAGGCGCCAAGAGAGGTGTTTGTTTAGCTTCAACGCGGGGGTGTCACCATGTGTCCGCTTTTTGTGCACATTCTTCCTCTTGCAGGGCTCGGCTTGAGGCTCGGAGGGCCTTCAAGAGCGTTCCAAGCGGAGGTTTTCAAAGACTTCGCGTGAGCTTCGAGTGCGATTGCGCTGCTCCAAGACGGCTCCGAGACGCCCCCAAGAACGCCCCAAGACGCTAACAATGGCTTCAAGACGGCCAAAGAGACCCTGCAGCCGCGGGGGGCTCCAACAGGACCCCCAGGGGCACCAAGAGGCCCAAACCACTGTTGTTCCATTGTTTTTGAAGGATTTTAGCGTTCTCACTTTTTCGGGGCTCCAGCGTTCCAAGAAGGCCCAAGAGGCCACCAGAATCGGCCCGAGACGGCCCAAGAGGCCCCCGAAGAGGGCCCCAAGACTACCCACGATGGCACCAAGACGACCCATAAGGCTACAATGCGGCCCAAGAAACCTCCAGGACGGCCCCAAAAGGGGACCAGGGGGCCGCCGGAACTCACGTTGCGAGATTTTGTCCATCAAGATCGCCTCTTGCGAAGCGGCGTGAGGTCATGCGGAGAGCCTTCGCAAGTAGACGCGGCGCCAGAGTCACATCGCCCCCGTGACTCATCCCTCAACCCCCCAACCCCCCGGCCGGATTTCTTTTCTTCTTTCCGCGGGGGGTCAACCTTCGCGGCGACCCGTTAAACCCGGGACCCCTGGCGGCGCATGGATTTCTTTCCTTCTTCCCCGCGCGCGTTGCCGTTGGAACCCCTGAACCCCTCCGACTACCGTACAACTCGTACTTGAGTACAACTGGTACTATCATGTCCTATCGCGCAGTTGTTCCTAGAGAGCACGTTGTCCTGCCGTGCAAATATTCGAGTGCTCACCGGCTGTAATTCAGTTGTTCCCGTACTAATACAAATCCCTAGTGCAACCGCGATTAAGGTGTTGTTGCATTGCACTTACAGTCTCGGCTCTCACGCTTTTCTTCCTCTGGTTGCGCTTGGGGGGGTGGGACCCCTCGCGCGGGCACCCCCGCGGCTGGGAGTTCATTCCTCTTCCGGAATTTGAGGGGGGGTAACCCCCGCGCTCGAACCCCATCGCCAGGGTTTTTTTCTTTCCTCCGCGGAAACCGGACCCCCTGGGTTCTTCGGCGCGCCCCATTTTTTTTTCTTTCCGGTTGGGCCTCCATGGGTCTTAGGTTGGAGTCACCCGGGTGATAGAGTCACCATGTATCCGAACATTGTACGCACTCGTACATTTCTGAGACGATCGCCGAGCCTCTTGGGAGCCCTTCTGGTGGCCTCTTGGGGCCTGCTGGGGTTTTCTTGGGGCCTGATAGCGGGCCCCTTGGGCGCCTCTCTCGAGGTATGTTGAGACTTCCTGGGGATTTCTTAGGGCGTTTTGGTGGGTCCTTTGGGAACCTCTTGGGGGCTTGCTGGGGCCTCAAGAGCCCCGAGAAGACTCCAAGAGGGTCCTGAAAAGTGTCCGGGTCCGCCGGAGATGCTGCAGCACCATCTCCAGGTGTTCAGGAAACCTTTCGGGGCTTTCTTGGAGCTTTCTTGGGGGGCTTCATGACGGTGGGGGGGGAGGGCGGGAGAGGGGGGGATCTCCTGGAGATGGGGACGCGGAGGAGGGGGCAGCTTCCAGGGGCCTGGTTGGGGCCTCTCGGGCGCCTCTTGAGGTCAGTTGGGATTCGTTTGGGGCCTCTCAGGGGCTCCTGGGGGTCCTGTGCAACCCTTCAGGCGTCTTGGCGGCTTCTCTGGGGTGTCTTGGTACTCTCTCGGGGGCCGAAAAGCGATGTTGTTGCTGTTGCTGCTGTTGTTGTTACTCCTGCTGGTGTTGTTGTAGTTGTTGCATGTGTAGTTGTAGTTGTTGCTGGTGTTGCCGTCGTTGTCGCCGTGCGATATAATTTTTGATGCTGCTGCTGCTGCTGTTGTTGTTGATTGCTGGAGTTGATTATTGTTATGGTTGTTGGTGCTGTTGTTGTTGCTATTGCTGTTGCTGTTGTTGTTGCTTTTGCTGTTGTTGTTGTTGTTGTTGTTGTTGTTGTTGTTGAATTTTCATTTCTGAAAAATAATTATTGTTGATCCCCCCACTGGTGCATATTGTTTTTTCTCAATCAAAGTGTGCCCCTCGACGCTTGCACCCTGTTTTTTGACAGGGAAAGTCTTGATGCTCAAACTGGGCCCCTGGCCCCCGGGTTACAACAACAACTGCTCCCGCTTGAGATTTCCTTACAATTTAGCCAGGACCCCCGCTCCCGCCCGAGACTTCCTCGCATTTTATTCCGGAATCGCGCTCTCGCTTGGGACTTCCTTACAATTTATTCAGGAATCGCTCTCCCGGCGCTCTGGAGTCGCGCTCTCGCTGGAGACTTGCTTGCAACTTACTAAAGAATGGCCTTGCGTTGGGATTTCTTGCAATTTGCCCAAGCGCCGCGCTCCCGACACCCAGGCACCCAGGAGTCGCGCCCGTTGTGGCCCCATGTGCATGCCCTTCGTGGCCCCGCTGTCGCCATTTGTGTCCCCCTCACTGTCCTACGTGGCCCAGTTGCTACCCTCAGTGGCCCCATAGTTGCCTTCTGTGGCCCCGCATTATCTGCACTTCGTGGCCCCCGCTCGTTCGCGCTCTTCGTGGCCCCATGTGCATTCCCTTCGTGTCCCCGCTGTCGCCCTTCGTGGCCTACTTCGTGCCCTTCGTGGCCCTGCTGTCGTTCTCTCTCGCTCTCGCTTTCGCTCGTCGTCGCCGTCGTCGCCGTCGCCGTCGTCTTCGACGTCGTCGTCGTCGTCGTCGTCGTCGTCGTGGTCGGTCCCCTGTCCGTCCCTCTTGGGGTCGGGTCGACGGTCCGCGGCCGCCCCGCCGATCAGCGCTGCCGCTGGCCAGGCCGACGGTCCGCGGTCGCCCCGCCGCTTGCCAGGGCCCGGCCTGCAGGGAAGAAAGGTATACCCCCCAAAAGGGGTTCGACCGAAGACGAAGAGGGCGGGTATCGAGGGTTTGGGAAATACGCGTTATTGGACACTCGAGCATACAAGGGCGAACAGTCTTAGAATTATATTGTTTTTGTTGGTGTTGTTGTTCCCTACCTAGGCTCTGCCTAGAGGGTTCTTACTCTCTTTCTTCAAGTGGCCGGGCAGTGGAAACCGCCCCGGGCGGTTCCCCCAGCATCCACCCCGCGGGTCCCCCAGTTGCGCCCCCTGAGTTCACCCAGCTTAGCTTAGCTAAGCTAAGCTAAACTTAGCTTAGCTTAGCCTATCTCATCTTAGCTTAGCTTGGCTTAGTTTTGCCTCGCCCAGCCTATCTTAGCTTAGCTTAGCTTAGCTTATATCATACTAGCTTAGCTTAGCCTAGCTTGGCTTAGCTTAGCTTAGCTTAGCTTAGCTTAACCTAGCCTGGCTTAGCTGAACTTAGCTTAGCTTATCTTAGCTTAGCTTACCTTAGCTTAGCTTAACGCAGCGCAGCACTAGCACAGCTGAGCATAGCATAGCCAATCATAGCATAGCGTTGCATAGCTCAGCATAGTTCAGCATAACATTTCATATCATAGCATCGCATAACACAGCGCAACATATCATAACATAGCATCGCATATCATTGCCTAACACAGCACAGCGCAGCATAGCATAGCACTGCACTGCACTGCACATCACATCATAACATATCATATCATAGCATAGCGCAGCATAGCGTTCGCAGGGGAACCACATCATAGCGTAGCATATCATAGCACAGCATATCATAACATAGCATAGCGCAGCATATCATAGCGCAGCGTAGCATATCATATTACAACCCAGCATAGCACATCATATTACAGCATAGAAGCAAACACAAAACAACGCAAACTCAACAGCAAACTCAACAGCAAAAGCAAAGGCGAACGCAAACGCAAAGGCAGGAGCAACAGCAAAGGCAATGCACAGCAAAAGCAAAACCAATGCGACAGTGTAGATGTATATGTGGATGTAGATGTAGATGTAGGTGTAGGTGTAGGTGTAGATGTGGATGTGGGTGTAGATGTAGATGTCGTGTAGATGTAGATGTAGATGTAGATGTAGATGTATATGTAGATGTAGGTGTAGATGTAGGTGTATATGTAGATGTAGATGTGAGTCTCGCTGTTGATGTAGATGTAGATGCAGGTGTAGATGTAAATGTAGGAAAGAGCGTGTTCTACCGCTGCTGGCGGAAAACCGGGGGGGGTCACTACCGGTTCGAACACCTCCCCCCCCCCCTCCGGAAAACCGGGGGGGGTCACTACCGGTTCGAACCCCTCCCCCCCCCCAGCTCATCATGAAAAGGGGGGGGGGTCACTACCGGTTCGAACCCCCCCCCCCCCCCCCTCGAAAACCGGGGGGGGTCACTACCGGTTCGAACCCCCCCCCCCCTTCGAAAACCGAGTGGGGGTGCGGACAGTGGTGGGTACGGTGTTGGTGGGGACAGTGGTGAGGGGATAGCGGGACAGTGGTGGGGACAGTGGGACAGTGGGGTGGACGGTAGTGGTGGGGACAGTGGTGGGGACAATGGTGGGAACAGGGGGGGACAGTGGACAGTGGTGGTGACGGTGGTGGTGGGGACAGTGGTGTGGGGACAATGGGAATGAGGTGGAAACAGTGGGACAGTGGAGGGTACAATGGTGGTGGGGACAGTGGTGAAGGCGGTGGCGAGGACGGCGGTGGGACAATGGGACAAAGGTACAGTGGGGACACTGGTGGGGACAGTGGGGACAGTGGTGGGAACAGTGGGACAGCTCAGTGGGACAGCGGAGGAGTCAGTGGGACAGTGGGGACAGTGGGGATAGTCGGGCAGTGGTTGGGGCCGTGGAGACAGTGAGGAGAGTGGAACCGTGGTGGGAACAGTTCTGGGGACAGCGGGGACAGTGCGACAGTGGTGGGGGCACTGGCGGGGACACTACTGTCCTCGCGACACGTCAAAGCGAAACTCAGAAGACGGCGAGTTTCGGGCCCGACAAGTTAGTTACGAAAGACGACGAGGCCGCACCGGGCGAAGTTAGTTAGCGAGAAAGCGAAAGCGCCGAGAGGACGCAAGGCTGAAGTTAGGACCTCCGCGTGGTAGCAGCATGGTCCGTTCGTGCATTCCACGTCCTGATCTATCACGCTGGCAGAGCAGCGCGATGTCACGCGCACCAAAAAAACACCAGGGAGTGCTGCCACAAAGCGGAATCACATGCGCATGATAACCAGGATGAGCGCGCGATTCAATTGCGAATGCGATTCAGACTGCAATTCCGAAAACGGACGCGACATACCAAGTTATATTGCCAAAGGCCAACCTGAGATACTGGAATTGGCATTGCCCATATGATTTCGTTTTTGTGCGAATCCTGTGAGCCAACACAGATGTTGTCATATTCGCGCAGCTATTTTGTGTTTTTTTGTTTCTGAATATTTTGCGTTGGTAATCGTGGTCGTATTCCCCGCTACGTGTATTGTCTGATGACAACCAGTATTATTGTTTTTTTTTCACCGCAGTTTGTTTATTGCACGAATGTTCACGACGTTGCGCATATCCGCATGAATATGGGCATCGTTGCGTACGGCACGTTACCGTCATAACGCAGATTCCATTTAATAGTAATACTGGATGCGGGTATGACACCATATTGGAATATTATGATGTTTTTGTTTAAACGTGAATGAAACGTAATAACAACATAATGTATACCGTGAGTTGGGTTGATGTCTGGTTGTCCTTATTGTTTGTTTCGTAATGTTATCGGTCGCGCTACTACCGCTATCAATGCAAATGCTTGGGCTCGTGCTCATTCTCGCCTTCAGGCCCAAGGAAACGTCGCATTCCAGCTGGTGACCCTGATTTTCCCTTGCCACGGTTCCGACGTACCTTTGGAAGCATGTCGGCCTCTTCCTCGGGCGCTGCTCGCCGCAGGGCGATTGCAGCCATGTTCGGGGAACCTCCTGGCGCCACCCCTGAGAAGAAGCAAAAGGTGTTGGACGTTGTCTCGCTGACCCCTGAGCAAAAAAGGATCAAAGATATCAAGGAGGGCAGGGGGCACATCCTGATTTTTAAACGTTTACCATGCGAACATATACGTGCGCAGCATTTGTTTTACATGGGGCGAAGCATCCCTATACAAGGGACACAATTGGGAACATCAAAGCGAAGCCCGCCCGCCCCCGCCCCCCAAGGACGTCGACGTTTTCAAGCGGCAGGCCGACGCGACAGCCGAGGCCCAGCGACAGCTCGCCGAGGAGTGGGGCCTCGAGTGGCCCAGGCCGCAGCCAACGGGGCCACCGCGCAAGGGGGGGCCGATCCCCAGAGCCCAAAAATGGCAGGATAGTCACGATAGTCTTTACCAGTGGCACGCGGGAGTTGTGAAGGGCGAGCTCCCCAAGCCCTCGGCGCCCCCGCCGCTGCTGTTCCCGTCGGACTGGGACCATAAGAAATGCCCCGCGTGGGCGTACCAGGCGAGGGCGACGACCCCCGACAGAGACCCCCAGGCCACTCCGAAAGCGCAGAACGGGGAAACCCAAGACGATCTGACGCCCGAGAACGGCCCGCAGGGCACTCCGAAGGCGGAGGGCGGGGACACCCAGGGCGTGGTGAACGACGAGTGCGCGAAGCAGCCCGAGAAGAAGCGGAGTTATCATTTGTACCCGCCCGAGGTGGTTGATTTCTATTTCGGTTTCGAAAAGGACATGGGGGGGGCCCGCTCGAAAGTTGTCGACTTCGTCAAGAGTCACTACCCCTCCCTGTTCCCGAAGACCTTCTGTGAAAGCCGAGTTCGCGCCTGGGAAAAGACGCGCCGTAGTCCTGACAGCGGGAGCGCTGCTGCTGGGCGGGGATGGCGTTTGGGCCAGACTGTCTTGCGAGTCGGCCATTTGGCATTTATCGGCTCCCTCATCGTATCGCAGTACAACGCCGGAATTCCCATGACCGCGCGGCTCCTCGTTCCCCTCGTGGCAGGGGCATTGGTGGCGAAGGGGCTCGGTGACAAGGTGGTCTCGAAGCAAATGCGGCGGGCACCCGCACAATGCATCAGCAAGCTTGTTTGGGCATGCATGTGCGAACGCATGCGTGTATAAATGTCTGCACAGCACGCGAGATCTTACATGTACGTACTTACTTGCATGCATGTGGCCCGTTCGTTTGTATGTGTATGCTTGCCCACCGGCATGTACGCACTGCTGTATGACAGCGCACGTTCTGTGTTTTCGTCTGCACAGCACGCGAGATCTTACATGTACGTACTTACTTGCATGCATGTGGCCCGTTCGTTTGTATGTGTATGCTTGCCCACCGGCATGTACGCACTGCTGTATGACAGCGCACGTTCTGTGTTTTCGTTGAGGGGGAAGAAGGAAGCGGACACCGAACGTGAACAACACGCACGCACGTAGCAGGGTTGTCCTACGAACGTGGCCGAAACTTGGCGCGAGCGCGCATAAAGAGAAAAGTGCCACCCTGGGCAGTCGCAAAAACAACCCGGAGAAACAAACGTGCACCGACCTAGGCGTTTACTAAAAGTCCCCGTGGCCGCGGAGGACAAGGAGGAGGAGGAGGAACGGGAGGAAGAAGGAAAGCCAACTCGCGTATGATACGACTTCGGCCTGAAACGTATCCGGACCGCGGCTGGATGGGAAGTTCCGCAGAAGGTTCTGGCGGAGTGCCCAAACAGCCACATCGATAAATCCAACATAGCAAGAGAAAAGCGAGAGGGGGGAGGAGGAACAGGAGGAGGAAAGAGAAGAGGAGGGAGGAGCCGACAGACGCGCAAGAGTGAGACAGTACATGATCAACCTAAGGTTGGAAGCATGCGTATGTGTAGCGTGTGTGTTCTGTGTCTGCTGGCGTGCATGTGCGCGTATCTGGATATGTGCACTGATGTATGGTGTGTCACCAGTAAGCTCTTTTCACTGCGCCCTGTCGTCAGGGCTATGCTTCGACGTAGGTCCGATACAACATTCAAAACTCGTCTGGAAACGCATCGCACTAGTGCTCGCACAGTGTTCGGTCCAGACTCTTACCCTAACCAGCCAATCGCCCTTCTAAGCGCCACTCCGCTCAGTCTTATCATCCACCTTTCGGCTCTCAGATGCCGAACGCCTTCTCCAGGATGTTTTGGGCATTCTTGTCGAGACTACCCACGGCCGCCTGCGCATCTTCACCGCCCTCCACATCGTGGTCAGCCTCGCTTGCTGGATCCATCTCCGCTGCCTCCTCGGCCTCCCACGCTGCGCCCAATCCAAGCTCCTTGTCAGCTGTTTCCGCTGCGGCTTTCGCCTCAGCAGCTTTCCTTTCTTGGTAGCGCAATGTTTTGTAAGGGTTGCACACCAAGCACCCTCCTCCGGACCAGCGGCACTTGGGGCAACCGTACAAGTAGTTGCCACTTCCGTTGCAGCCGTCAGGCTGCGGCGCCTTCGATTTCGCCTTCTCCTTCGCTTTGCCCTTCCCCTTCGCCTTCTCCTCCTCTTTGGCCTTCTTTTCCCCTTTCGTCAACCCCTCATCCTCTTCATCATCCTTCGCCTTATCCTCCTCCTTCGCCTTATCCTCCCCCTTCGCTTTCTCATCCCCTTTCGCCTTCCTTCCATCCTCCTCCTTCGCCCCGTCCACTTCCTTCGCCTTCTCCTCCTCCTCCTCCTCCTCCTTCGCCTTGTCCTCCGCCTTCACCTTCGCCTTCTCCTCCTCCTCCTCCTTCGCCTTCTCCTCCTCCTCCTCCTCCTTTGCGTTCTCCTCCTCGTTCGCGTTCGCCTTCGCTTCCTCCTCGACGTCCTTCTCCTCGCCCTGCGCCTTTTCCTCGTCTGCCTGCGCATCGGGGGACTTGCTGATCTTCGTCAGGGTTCCCCCGAATAGCTCCTTTTTGGCCTCCAGGGCTTCCGCCTCCTGGAAGAGCGCCCCCTGCTGCGGGCCCCAAGCCTGCGCCAAGCCTGACTCGGCCCATCCGCGGCACAGCTCCTGCCCAGAAGGACGACGAGGAAAACGAGGAGGACGACGAGGAAAACGAGGGAATGGGAGATGGGGGAAGGGGGGGAGAAAAGCGAGGAAAACAGGGACGAGGGGCAGGAATACCCACTTTCGATCGATTGTTTTGTTGATGTGTGCGCGTTTCGTTTCGCTCGAGGGCCTGGCGGGTGAAGGGCCACAAACTCGCAGAGGGGGGCCGGGTGATTCGGGAGAGATGCGCTTCCTTGTCTTTCTTAGAGATCTCCTCGAAGGCAGTAGACAGAAAATGGCAGAAGGGAGTCTTCAAGGCAACGAGGTTCAGGTCGATCGTCACAGAGGTGCTCGGGACACTCTGGTCAGCAAGCTTCAAGGCAACTTGACCCGCGAACCACTCCGTGGCCGCAGTGCTGATGAGGTTCTTGAACTGGGCGTTGACGGCAACGTCCAGAGGTTGCAAGAAAGGGGTGTAGTTTGCCGGAACGAACAGCAGGATGAGTTGCGGAAGCGTCTGCTTCACCCAATCCAGAAATCCAGCGTCACGGTGCGAAGAGTAAACGTCGAGGATGAGCACCATGCGTTGCCCAAGTGGCAAGCCGTTCTTCTCCACCATAGGCGTGTAGTATGTCTCCATGAGATGGGTGACGAATTCCTTCATGGTTTGCACTGTGCTCCAGTGGCTCTCAGAATGGGCGTGGAAGATATGTTTTTCGAACTGCTTCTGCGTCTGGGAGGTCGGCTCGCACTGCTTCGTTTTCCCTCCCCAGATCACTTGGCACGGCCTGATGAGCTCGCCTGCCGCTGAAATCCGCCGACCCTGTCGGCGTGTGGAATGGGCTGTTCCGTTCGTCGTCGTCGCCGTCGCCGCCAAGCGAGCCAGCCAAATCGACGTGCCCTAACCCAACCAAAGCAAAATTGAGGAACGTCGTCATCGTCGTCGTCGTACTCGTCGTTCAGGGTCGGCGGCGCTCGCCGTAAGGCCTTTCGAATCGTCGGTATGACCGTGTATTGCCGCTTGTCACCAGCCCCGTGGAAGACCGTCTGCTGCCCCTTCCCGCTGGGTGCCCAACCCCGAGGCTTCAAAGGGAGTAAGAAGACACCTGTTTCGTCCATGTTCACCACAAGCTCTCGTGGGATGGAGTGGGAAACGACGCAATAGACCAGACGCAAGAGGAACAGATGAGCTGTAGCCTTCAGGTCCACCTCGTTCGGTTGATGCTTCTTGGTGCGAGTGGGCCGCTTGTAGGAGATCTTCAAAACTACTTTGCAGAATCGCTGCACCCACCTGTCCGTGATGCTGACCTTCCCATCGTGGCCTTTCTTTTCGTTCCCTTTCGTTTCGGTCACCACCTGGGAGCGCATTTGCTGATCGACCGCGCGGCGGAGGAGGACGAGGAGGATGTGCCGGAGGCGGGGAGGGGGATGTGTCAAAGCATGCGCTCTCAAGCGTGGGAAGAGCTCCGCGGGCGAAAGGGGCAGAGGATTTATTAACATGCTCCGGCGCTGACGCCCAGAGCGGTCGCACAGCAAATACGCTCCCAGGTGGTGACCGAAACGAAAGGGAACGAAAAGAAAAGCCACAATGGGAAGGTCAGCATCACGGACAGGTGGGTGCAGCGATTCTGCAAAGTAGTTCTGAAGATGTCCTACAAGCGGCCGACTCGCACCAAGAAGCATCAACCGAACGAGGTGGACCTGAAGGCTACAGCTCATCTGTTCCTCTTGCGTCTGGTCTATATCATCGTTTCCCACTCCATCCCGCGAGAGCTTGTGGTGAACATGGACGAAACAGGTGTCTTCTTACTCCCTTTGAAGCCTCGGGGTTGGGCACCCAGCGGGAAGGGGCAGCAGACGGTCTTCCACGGGGCTGGTGACAAGCGGCAATACACGGTCATACCGACGATTCGAAAGGCCTTACGGCGAGCGCCGCCGACCCTGAATGGCGACGATTACGACCGACGATTACGACGACGACGACGACGATGACGATGAGGACGTTGCTCCGTTTCGCTTTGCTTGGGTTGGTGCATTTCGATTTGGCTCACTCGCTTGGCGGCGACGGCGACGACGACGACGACGACGAACGGAACAACCCATTCCACACGCCGACAGGGTCGGCGGATTTCAGCGGCAGGCGAGCTCATCAGGCCGTGCCAAGTGATCTGGGGAGGGAAAACGAAGCAGTGCGAGCCGACCTCCCAGACGCAGAAGCAGTTCGAAAAACATATCTTCCACGCCCATTCTGAGAGCCACTGGAGCACAGTGCAAACCATGAAGGAATTCGTCACCCATCTCATGGGGACATACTACACGCCTATGGTGGAGAAGAACGGCTTGCCACTTGGGCAACGCATGGTGCTCATCCTCGACGTCTACTCTTCGCACCGTGACGCTGGATTTCTGGACTGGGTGAAGCAGACGCTTCCGCAACTCATCCTGCTGTTCGTTCCGGCAAACTACACCCCTTTCTTGCAACCTCTGGACGTTGCCGTCAACGCCCAGTTCAAGAACCTCATCAGCACTGCGGCCACGGAGTGGTTCGCGGGTCAAGTTGCCTTGAAGCTTGCTGACCAGAGTGTCCCGAGCACCTCTGTGACGATCGACCTGAACCTCGTTACCTTGAAGACTCCCTTCTGCCATTTTCTGTCGACTGCCTTCGAGGAGATCTCTAAGAAAGACAAGGAAGCGCATCTTTCCCGAATCGCCCGGCCCCCCTCTGCGAGTTTGTGGCCCTTCACCCGCCAGGCCCTCGAGCGAAACGAAACGTGCACACATCAACAAAACAATCGATCGAAAGTGGGTATTCCTGCCCCTCGTCCCTGTTTTCCTCGCTGTCCTCCTCCCCCTCGTCCATCTCCCACTCCCTCGTTTTCCTCG